CAATTAGTAACACACACACAGAATATATATATATATATATATATATAGTAAGTATAAATAAATCATCATGTTACAGAGAGGTGACTGATGTATAGATTATTTGAAGGAACAAATCAATTGATTCAAATACATTGGGTTTCTAAAAATATGGTAAAGAAATCGAGCTATGAGACAGTGTGTTTGGTAATTATATATTTCATCGAGTCCTTCTAGGGATACAGAAAAAAATTAGATAGTTTAAATTAGACCAATAATATTTCACCTGATTGTACCAATATTTATGGCAAATTGATGAAATACTTACTAGCTGAAACTTCCTAAACTTTAGTTTTGTTGTATTTAGCAATGGTTGGTCAAAGTATCAAAAAAGTACATGAAATTCGTATTTACACGAACAGTTGTATTTGAAACAAAAGGAAGTAAACTAGAAACAGTTTTGGTTATTTGTTAACAAAAAATCTCGTTTAACAGAAGGTGTCGCTGCGGCTTCAAACTTTGGTTTTAGCTCAATGTAAAATCATAGATAATAATAACAACTTTCGTTTCAAACAATTTTGATTTTAGACTTGATTTACAATCTCAAGTTGACTTGAACAGTTTCAAATAAAAACATTATTCAGTTTGTAAAACAAAAAGTTGTTAAATTTTATTTAAATTCTTAGGAAGTTAAATATAAAAACCATTCATTATTTATGTCCTTAGATTTCCAGAATTTAGATTTGTTCAAGATAAGTTTCAGAAGATTGTATTAGTTTACGAATACTAAATAATTCTAAGAGTAGTTTTTCTTTTTAAAGTTTCAACTTTTTCGTTTGTTTTTTAGTTTATATGAAAGAGGTTTGCAGATCGACCTCGAGACCAGTAATAAACGTAGACTCGGACGGTTATCTTTCGGCAGGAGAGGTTAAACTTAGTCGAGATTCATCTGCTTACGAAGTTGGGTTTCACTGTAACCTGACAATACAAGCTCCGAAAACATATCGAGTGATGATTGTGGTTCGGCGTGTGAGTATACGATTTTACCCAGTAACCCAGAACTCCAAGATTTGTATAGATTTCCTCCGAATATTTAACGGCGTTTCGAATTTGCATCTCAGCAGGAAGATATGTGGTCAAGAAACGTTCGATTGGAAGAGCGACGAAATCTACAGCTCGAGACAAACTAGTGCACTAACAGTACAGTTTTTTACGTTTCCATGGGATAAGAACTTGGTACGAGATGGATTTGACCTTGCTTTTACCGTTTTTAACATGAGTAAGTCCATTGGTTGAAAGTTGATAATACAAGTACCAGTAGTTCAAATCTAGCACTAAGGTTTCATGCCATCGTCTCCTCGTGAAACGAACACCTTTTAAACATTTTCTATACTTCATTCATGAGACGTTAAAGTTAAAGAACAGTTGTAAAATTTAAGCGTCAGACAATAAAATTTCTAATGAAATGGCATGCAGTAAAATCTATAAATATATATTTACATGTATGCCGAAATACAAATTAAAAGTAAAATATGATATGAAACAAATAGAAGGTGTAATAATATATATCAAAAATTATATCTTAGGCATTTACAGTTAGAATAATAAATTTAGTAGACTAGATACAGTTGTTATAACTGTTGCAATGATAATATAGAATAGATATGTAGCTACCAATAAATAGATATTAGGTGTAATATTGTTGTTTAGTATTTGTTTTAAATATAGTTTATGAAAAATTGATTTCTTTTGATGAAATTTGTTATTAATTATCATACTATATGTCTCAGGTAGTGATTTTGTCCGGTTAACTAAGGTCAACATTTTAACTAAATGAATGCTTGTAATAATGCTTCTTTCGTAACTTTATTCAGGAAAATGAGGTTTTAAAATAGTTAAATAATTCAATAGCACCCCCATCCCACTCCCAGTGGCTTACGAAGCTAAAAATTGGGTTTCGATATTCGTGGTGGGCAGAGCACAGATAGTCCATTGTGTAGCGTTGTTCTTAACTTCAAACAAACATCCCTAGTAGGATTGAAACCTTAATTTCGCATGTGGGGCTGAAGAGAAACAACTGTTTCTGAGTGCCCTTGGTTGTCTAGCAAGAAAGGGGCTTGTTAGATTTAAACCCTTAATTACTGTTAAGATAGATAGACAGCTTATAAGTGCTTGACCCCGTTTTTTGTCATGCCTTCTGGAGGATAGGTCATACTCAGTTACATCAACTTCTGACTTAACTACATCAGTGATACATCAGTTACATAAACATCTGACTTAATTACATCACTGCTACATCAGTGATACATCAGTTACATAAACATCTGACTTAATTACATCACTGCTACATCAGTTACATCAGCATCTGACTTAACTACATCAGTTACATCAGCATCTGACTTAACTACATCAGTTACATCAACATCTGACTTAACTACATCAGTTACATCAACATCTGACTTAACTACATCAGTGATACATCAGTTACATAAATATCTGACTTAATTACATCACTGCTACATCAGTTACATCAGCATCTGACTTAACTACATCAGTTCCATCAACATCTGACTTAACTACATCAGTTACATCAACATCTGACTTAACTACATCAGTTACATCAACATCTGACTTAACTACATCAGTTACATCAACATCTGACTT